TGACTGGATTGTTTTACGAACGGTACGCTGCAGATCAATTGTGACACTTATTAGGAAAAAAACATTCACCATCTCCCTGTTACTTTCCTTTATTTTCTGAGGCTCAACCCTCCTCCTGTCACCACACTAGTTTCTTCACCACAGTTGCATACATTATATAAGCACCAGTATTAGAGTGTTTGTGTGTTTCTTTTGCTTCCACTACAGGCTATTGAAAGTTTTGCTGTAACAGTGAAAGACATCGCACATATGCTACAGGGCTTTGGCACTGATCTGGCAGAGACAGAGCTGCCAGACAAGGGGAAGGCCATTGAGTATCTTCTTGAGTGTCAAACTGACAAGTACAGGAAACTCAAGGTAATGTTTCAAATGTTTTCATATAAGATGCATTTATCAAAATGAACACAAAAAGATTTTGTAGTATTTTATGAAGTATTTATGTTGGACGCTGCTCTGTTTGACAGGATGCAATCAGGTCGGTGTCAAAGGAGGGTCGTCATCTTCTCTCCAGCCTGGAGACTTCTGGGAAGGAGGATGACTCCCAGTGGGATGTGAAGCTCGACTGGGAGACAGTACAGAGGTAAGAGTTCTTCAAGCAGCCTTTTATTTCTTGTATTTGTTTATTTATTTTTAAGATTTGTAGATAAAAAGTGTAATCTAAAGTCTTGCAATCTTACAGCAGGGTTGGCTACCTTCTTAAATGTATATTCTTTAGTCCAGGTATAAACCTCAGATATTTTACTCAGCACTTTACACATGGCATTATTATTTATTTTTAGGCTTCTTGCCCAGCTCAGAGACATGGAGTCAGCCTTTGATGGCTTCTTTGAGAAACATCATCTGAAACTCCATCAGTACATGCAGTTGCTCAGATATGAACAAAGCTTTCAGGAGGTAAGGATTCCATGTATATATGTTTTTGTGTGATTATGTGTGCATGCACGGCCCTCTCTCCGTACTCCCCAGAGGATAGCACCATGAGATATATTGTCTTTTGTCTTGTGCAACCCCCAGGCTCAAGTTTTAATGTGGGCTTAGCCTCCATGAGCCACCAGGTTGACTAAAGACTGTTTTTCTTTTTAGTCTGTGTGTATATGATGGTGTGTGTTTTCTGTCCAGATGGAGTTGTGTCTGGAGCATCTGATGGCTCAGGAGAGGGCGCTGTCTATATCTGTAGACACTCTGGCTCAAACAGAACAAGCTCTCAAAAGGCTGGACAGTCTGGAATCTAATGCACAGGTCAGCGTTTCTCTATCCTGCTGTCAACATCAGTAACTAACAGCACTTATTAACTAATAACTTTAATAAAACTGACTCTGTCCTTCCTGTGCGTCTTTGCTGGCTCTGTCAGGAGGTGGTGGCTCGAGCTCAGATCATCATCCTTCACGGACACCAGCTTTCAGCCAGTCACCACTACGCCATAGCTCTCATTATGCAGCGCTGCAACGAGCTTCGCCACTACTGTGATACACTCAATGCTGCTCTCAAGACCAAACACTCTCGTCTTCTGCACACACACCAGCTGCTGCTTTGTCTTGGTCAGGTACTGACACGTGTGCATCTATTTACACCCACATCAGGACACACATATACATGTTTATAGTTGTACATATGTGCTCTCTAACTTCAGGCCCAAACCTGGTGTGATGATGGAGCATATATGCTGGCCAATCAGCTGGTAGAAAGGTTCCAGTCTAAGGAGGGGGCCCAGGCTGCCTTAAGGGACATTGAGAAGTTCCTGGAGGGGGCGCCATCTGTGCTGAGCTCAGGACCAGAGATCTTGGCTATTGAATACGAGGCTGTCATCACACCTCAGCTGCAGGTCAGATCCCACAACTATGATGCTTTATCGCTATAGAAACATGTGTCAAATATTGGCCTGCAGTATGACCTTGTTGCCATCATTTTAAATCAAAACCCTGCTGTACTACCTCTGCGCCCTCTCTCACTCCCTTTCTCCTTTTGTCCCTCTGTTAGGCCCATATTGGGAAAACGTTTGAGAAGCATGCAGCAGTGCAGCAGATGATCCAGAACCGACAGACTTGTCTGAAGAAGCTGGCCGATAAACATGTCCGACCGATCCAACTGGTGGCTCCCAGGCCAGAAAACCCACCACGCTCCAAGTCCCCTCTCTTCTCCCCCAAGCATGGTACAGTACAGACACACACAAACACACACACACGTAATCTTAACTCAAAAGAAAGAATCATTGTTGAAATAGAGATTGCGTCACTTCACTCATGCACACTTATGGAAAAATAATGCGTTACAGCTGATTAAACAGCATTAGTCTTTATAGTAAGCTGCCCTAGTTTGCAGCATATACGGTAGGCGTTTCACAAATTAACTCCCTACACACCCTCCCTTGGTTCCCAGGCCCAGTATGGGGTCTCATCTCATCCTTTATGGCCTGGCACCAATCCCTCTCCCCGCTGTATCTTTCCTTAAGGCACCATGCTTAAATTAACACATCACAGGGTCCCACTGAATAGGCCTAAGGTGTTCCTAAATGGGCTTCAGGGTTAGCAGGCCACCTTTACAAACAAGCAGGAACAAGGATAGATGGTATAATCAGTCCAGTGGGATATACCTGACTGCTCTATTAGTCAGGATAGAAGCTATAGAACCATATGTGGTTCATATACATTAAAGAACCTTTCATCTCCCTCTGTGTCTCATGGGAGGTTGCACAAAGCTAGCAATATACACTAGTACCCAATTAATACTGTATGTGGAATCTAGTGAGTTTTTTATTTGACTGTATCTACTGTGTGACTGAATGTGTCTCCAACCAGTGAGCGTATGAAAGTAAAATGATAAATATGCTTTTTTCTATTCCCATTCATGTCTTGAAGGCTTTGTTCTCCATGGTAGGAAGCCATGCTAATGAGAGTCATAACAAACAAAGTGAGAGTGATCATGAACCCCTCTGGGGCTCCCTCAATACTCAGGACACCACCTATTTAAGAGAGGAGATGCAGGAAGAAGTGGTTAGCTTAAATTGACTTGATCCAGTACATGGATGCACACACACGTGTGTACGTGCATGCACATACATTTATGCGTCCCACTGATGACTATAACATGGCACATGCAAAGGCACAACACTCAGCTTGGACGAGCATATGAGGATTCAGCTGCTAGGATCAAAAAGGACAAAGACAGTTATGCCAAACACTGCTTTAGATCTGTAAATACTGTTTCCACGCCAAACCTTTAGTGAAGGCTGCCTATTATCATTGGTGACCTCATATGTCCATCATCACTGATTTATGTTTTTTTTTTAATTACTGGGGAATTTTAAAAAGGTCATAGGCAGGGCAAGCATATCCATTTGAGGCTATCACATTCACAATGTGCACACAAAAGAATTGTTTTTGATTCAGAATGGGTGCTTAAATTAGAATTAGTCTCCTCAATATGCCTCATCAGTGCATATAGAAATATACTTTGTGTGAATTACATTCCTAGTCTTTGATGAGCTGCTGCTGCCTATGATCTGGTTTTCACAGGTGATGGTTTGAAGTTCACATTCGACATCTCTCTGCCTGGGAAGAGAGCATCCCGAAAGAGCCCCAACCCGAGAAAAGTAAGATAAAACAAATTTTTTTTTTTTTTTTAATGTTTCTGTTTCATGTGTTTATTTTCTCCTCTAACTCGTACCATTTGGTCCAATATAATAATATTTTCTCAAAATCCAAATGGAAGAGTCAGTGTTGTGCATCTGTGTTGTGTTCAGATAGAGGTGATTCATGACTACCAGGAGAGTCGGAGCTGTGTGTCATATGGTCTGGAGGGAGAGGACAGCCCAGATCTCTTGAAGCGGTGAGGAGGCGTCATCCGTCCACCCATCTGTCTGTTCTTAATACTGTTCTAGTTGTTGTTTACTTCGTGGTTCTCTTTGTTCAGTGCTAATGATGCCCTCTGGCTCTCTCTTTGTCTGCTTCTGTGTGTGTTTGTATGCTTGTATCGCAGCCATGTGATGAGGGAACTCGTAGAAACTGAAAGAATCTACGTGGAAGAGCTGCTGTCAGTGCTGCTGGTGAGAAAACACACTTTCTTACTGTGTGTATGTACTCCATATGTTGTACATTGATGTTTATTTGTTAAATGATTCCTGCTTATACATCTTATATCAGATATACACAAGCTATATACTTCCTGAAATGTGTTGCTGTAATTAAATATTGTAGGGTTACAGGGCTGAGATGGACAACCCAGCTCTGTGGGGGCTTTTGCCCCCAATCCTGCGCAGCAAGAGAGACATCCTCTTTGGAAACATGCCTGAGATCTACAATTTTCACAGCAGGCAAGTGATCAATGCCTCACATCACAAATGGTATCCTAAAGGAGTTTTAAATCAAAATGCAACTGGACTTGATTATTTGTCTGGGAAGACGTTTCACCTCTCATCCAAGAGGCTTCATCAGTTCGTGTACGCATCTGACCAGGCTGGGACTGGTCTAACTTACTGGTGTGGAGACCCAAGTATTTAACCTCTTGTGGGCGTTCACAAGGCTGATGATGTCATTGGTTTCTGTTTGTGCTCCAAGTGTCAACGACAGTCGTTTGCACGACCATTGTTGGTGGGACCGTTGTTGGTCGTGCAAACGACTGTCGTTGACACTTGGAGCACAAACAGAAACCAATGACATCATCAGCCTTGTGAACGCCCACAAGAGGTTAAATACTTGGGTCTCCACACCAGTAAGTTAGACCAGTCCCAGCCTGGTCGGATGAGAGGTGAAACGTCTTCCCAGACAAATAATCAAGTCCAGTTGCGTTTTGATTTAAAACTCCTTTAGGATACCATGACCTGGACAAATGAGAATATGCACAGGCTGATCACAAATGGTGTAGACCTATTTTAACATACCAAGAATGTATAACAATGCATGCAAGTTTGACCGTCACACACAAAAATAGACACAATTATGTCAAGAATTTTTATTTATACTCGTACTGTTGTCGATGGTGTGCAAGATTAAGTATAACTAGTATTTCTGTAGAAAACCCCATGTATATACCACTTTATGCACTGAGGTTGATGTGTGACCTTTGACCTTCTGGGAATCCAGGGTCTTCCTTCAGGACCTGGAAGGATGCCTGGAGGCTCCTGAAGGTGTGGGAGCTTGTTTTCTGGAGAGGGTGAGATGATAAATCTTTATGTTGTGTAGCATCTTTATATTTTGATTTGTTCATCTTTTTTTTCTCCAAACAAATTTCTCTTTTCTATCTCCTCCAGAAAGAGAGTTTCCAAATATATGAATGCTACTGTCAGAATAAGCCACGCTCTGAGGCGCTGTTGAGACAATTCTCAGACTGCGCCTTCTTTCTGGTCAGTTTTGCCATGATTCTACCTTCACACCAACAGCAACAGATTTTTTTGGGTTTGTTTGGTGTCATGCAAGATACAGTATGTTTACAATATTTCAAGTTCTGTAACTATTTCAATATTTGTAGTTGTACAGTTCTAAACTGATTAATACCACTGTGCCGGAACAAATGCCATTTTAAATTACAGTGTAAAAAGCTTGTGATCTGTCATTGTCAAACATTACATTCATGCTGGTTTGTTTTCCTCACAAAGGAATGTCAAAAAAAGCTGGAGCACAAACTGGGCCTGGAGTCCTACCTGTTGAAACCAGTCCAACGCCTCACCAAATATCAGCTGCTGCTTAAGGTTAGACAGAGAACACACACACACACACACACACAGACAGAACACCTACATTACACTCACTGATAGTGGGCCTGATGCTTGGACATCAGTCAGCAGCAGATCTTGTTGACACAAATATCACAGCAAGCCACTGAAATAAATGAAAGCAACTGGGTCAGAAACACATTAAAGCATTTTAGTGTATTTTCAAAACTTCATTCTTCCATCACAACAGACAAGTTCATTGTAAGTTCATACCACAAGAGAGCACTGTTGTACCTACTGTATTTATGTATGGTTTTATATGAATTTGTGTGTGTTCTCAGGAGCTGCTAAAATACAGTACAGATTGTGAGGGGACTTCTGAACTGCAGGGGGCACTAACAGCCATGCTGGACCTGCTCAAATCAGTCAACGACTCCATGCATCAGATAGCCATCACTGGATATGAGGTGAACCAGATCTTCCTTAACAGTGATAAAGTTGCTATAATGTGCATTTTACAGAGAATATATTTACAACAAAGGCTTACACATAAACACCCCCTTCCGTTATGTGCAGGGTGACATCTGCGAGCTGGGCCGCGTGTTGATGCAGGGCTCGTTCAGCGTGTGGATCAGCCATAAGAAAGGTCCCACCCGCATGAAGGAGCTGGCTCGCTTCAAGCCGATGCAGAGACACCTCTTCTTGTACGAGAGAGCTCTGCTCTTCTGCAAGCGGAGGGAGGAGCATGGAGACGGCTCCGACAAGACGCCCTCGTACAGCTTCAAGCACTGTCTCAAGGTTGGTCTGTGTTTTTGTATTAGACGAATACGGCAGTATTTTTGATCCACTGGTTAAAATATGTTACGCCCATGAATACCAAAATTAAACATATGCTCTGAGTGGATCACTTATTCTAGTACTCAGAGTGACTACATAAGAATACAGTTGTGACACCATGTTGTTACAGACTAGTGGTGTCTCAAGTGTGAGAAAATGACATCAAATGACGAATTAGTATACAGCCTATATCAACTTAAAAAACACAGAGCTATAGATAAATACTGAAGGTGGGTTTCTACCCGACATGCTGCCAAAGTTACTGCAACAACTTCATATAACAAATGCACTATTATATTGTCAAAGTTCATCTCACACAATCACTTGTTCTCCGTCACTCTGACTAACACGCTCTACTAACGATCTAGTGTAGGACAAATAGTTTGGTGTCTGTGTTGTTATGAGTTGCCCAGCTGGCCACAGAATCCGCTGTATTCCTGCAAGACTCCTTTTGTTGTGTGTGTTGAAGTGCGGAGGGTGTCACACCAACAGCTGCTGCCGCTGCTGCTGCTCTTGATTTATTATTGAGGATGTGGGGAGGAAGCAGTCACACAGCGGAGGTGTGTCTGTGAGTGTGAGTGTCTGTGTTCTGACAGGACAGATGTGTTACATGATGTAAGTCTGATGTATGAGGTGCTGTTTGTGCTGCTTGTCCTAATGCTGTGTGTATGTGTGTGTCAGTGTAAACAGTGTATGTCTCTTGGCAGATGACTGCTGTGGGGATCACAGAGAACGTCAAGGGAGATGTGAAAAAGTTTGAGATCTGGTACAGTGGCAGGGAGGAAGTGTATGTGGTTCAGGTAAGGAGTCTAAAAAAGGTTCAATGCTAGTGAGTTCAGCAGGTTAAAGACAGTACGTGACTAATAATTCAGCACTTTCTTACTTTTACTGTACTCACTAAGATTTCATATTAATTAACAATTAAAATGGCAAATACCTTAGATACAAAACATTTTAAAACACCACTAGGGTGTTTATTGACCAAACAGCAAATACAGGCCCAACAGAAGAAATGGCAGCATTGTAGCTAGCCTAGGATAGAAAGAAGTACAGTACATACAGAATGTTGTAATCCACTGACCGTCTTGTTCAGCCTGTTGCGATGTTTCTGTTGTCTGTCAGGCTCCTACATTGGAGGTGAAGATGGCCTGGCTCAATGAGCTGCGCAGAATCCTAACGAACCAGCAGAAGCTGCTTAGAGGTCTGTGAAATACATAAATGTGGGTGTAAGAACAAAGGTCCACTTACTAACTTTAGAGATTTGAACTGCTTTTCACTTCCCTCAGAGAACATGAGGTGTGTTCAAAAGCTCTGAAATTTGTAAGTGGACCTTTGCGCTTAGGTTTTCTTCACCATATACTGTTCTCAAAAAGAAAAGAATGAACATACATGCTCAAAATTGAGGTTCTATCTGGAACATTCAATCCATCTGTACATCCCCTCACAATCACTCGTCCTTCCTCTTCTCATAGATGAAGCATATCAACATGGACAAATGGTTGAACACATGCAGCTTTCTCCATCACTCTCTGAGAGGTCAGTGTCTATGGTTGTTTACAGATACTGTGTTTTCAGTAATGTGCTAAGCGCATGACTTTAGGCTACACTTGCACAAACAAAACAGGCAAAACACACACATGCAGTCACAGCACTACTATCTGCATTTGCTGAGTTTTCATATCTGATCACAGCTTGAGTGAATGTGACGATATCATTTCTGGTGACCGTGGTAGAAGGCTTTGTAAGTGTGTGTGTGTGTGTGTGTGTGTGAGAACAGGGGCAGGCCCCACTCTGTCCACTGCTGTCTGGTTGCCTATCCCCATTCCTCCCATCCCCCACCTGCAGGGGCATGCGGCCGTCCAGAGGGGTTCCCAGGGGCTGTCTGCCGGGGCTGGACTTTGTCTCGCTGTCGGCTGACGTGTTTCTGTGCCTTCGTTCCCGGAGCCCCCGTCCCCGAAGCCCCCGGCAACGGCCCCGGCCGCGCCCCCGCCACCGTCCCCAGCGCCACTGACCTGCCCTAACGCTCAGTGGTAAACTCAGCCTGGCTCACCTTGCCTCGGCCTGGCATGACCCACCTGGCCCGTCTTGGGACCAAAAACCCAGGGCTAATGTGTTTGCATACTGATCACCACCTGCAACCCTTTTTATAGCCTCATTCCGGTTCATAACTGACCCCCCCCCCCCTCTCGTTGTCACGTTAAGAGGCCTGTGTCTCAGCAGCTCTTCCATGGTTTTTCTAACATGTCAAAAACAACCTCTGCATCTTAAATTTGCTATTTTGCATGTAATGCAAAGGGCAAGCGAAAAGAAAAGAGTTCTGGCTTCATTCCATGAATTTTATTAATTTCCTCATGACAGTTGCTTTTTAAAGGTGGGGCTCGTTTTTTGAGATCTGATCAAGCTACTGTAGAATTTGCTCTCAAGAAACATTATTACTCAGCATGTAATAATAGAGTGACCAAATCTCTAAATTTGGATCTTGATAAATTGAGACCAGATCTTCCCTGGTGATGACGCACGTGTGAACACTGTGTCAGTCGGTGGTCTGCAAGTCCTAATTTCCACCTTTTACAGAGAATCTTGCACACGGCTGCTCTGTGCTCTGCCCTGCTGTCTGGCTGGTGCCTGAATGGTCATGGCTGTGTAGGGAAACAACAGGACTGAGTTGTTCCTTGGCACTGATCTGGGGCCAGCTATTCTGTTCCCTCTGTTTATAGATATGGATCAGATTGAGGAATTGAGAGCTGACCCCTAGATTGTGTGGCTGAGGATAACATCTATCCTGAGTCCGTCCGCTGTCTCTGCGCTGCATTTGGTGACACGTGCTGTTTTGTGTTGTTCACCCAGCAAGCAGCAGAGGGCGTCAGTGAGCTCAGAAGACACAGAGTCGGGGAGGAGCAGTCCAGACCCCCAGCCTCACTCCCCTAAACACCAGCACAACCGCAGGAGTGAGTACATCTCATCTGTTCACATTTATGCCATAATCAAGTAGATACTTAGTAACTAAATCACAGAAAAATGTTATGCGATTTGATGCAAATCAAAATTGCTGTGAACACTGTTGCTGATTTTCTCCATAATCCTCAACTGATGTAGATATTTGGCTTTTCCCCCTCAGCAGTTCAGGTGTACTTTGACCTGAAGAACCAGGTACATCGAGGAATTTTGGGGAAAAAGGTCCAGCTAATGAGATTAGCTTTTGATTCTACGTTCTTGTTAATTTCCCAGTAAGTGACAAAGGGGTTATTATAATGTCGACATAGTTACTAAGTATCTACATGGTGCATTTAAGGTGTAGTGTTGTGAGTAATGTGTTCATCAGTACCTCTAATAGCCAGAGTAATGTCCGTGTCCCAGGTTGGCCCGGCGCTCATCACTCGGTAGACATCTGCGAGGGTCTGGAGGAGTGGTCTGGAGGTCGGGACGCTTTCCACCCATCTGATACAGAGGAGGAGGTTTTGGTGCAGCTGGTGAGACTGAACACAGTGACATTAGATACAATAAAATACATCAAGAGATAAACAGTGAGACCATCCCAGTCTTTTTTTCAGTACTTTATCTTTGTCTAATTAATCATCTAAAAATGACATGGACTTACTGTATATTCATGTACAGGACAATCTCCTGTACTGAACTGAGGCAGACAGAAGATAAATCAGTGGCCATGACACCAGAAGCAGAATTTGAACCCTCACATTCAACTATGCACCAAGACCAGTCCATTTAGTAGCTGTTCTGGAGATTTCTATCAGATCACCCTATCGTCCTCAGCAGATGAGTTGTCATGGACGTGTAGATGATCAAATTTCCATTTTCCTGAGAACTCTAAACTCCTCTATTTTGGAAGCAGCAGTTGACAAAACGACAAAGCTCTATTGTTGTGTCTATATGTTGTGTATCATACAATCTTCAAAAGAATTCAGCTGTCATTTTATTTCTGTCAAAATCTTTCCATACACATTACGAAACTTCTAAACTCACGCTTTTTTACAAGGAAGAGACACTATATCAGACATATTTTTTACCACTGCCCCTGGTTTGTCTAAGATGGTTCAAAAGTTTATAGCCCGTTTTCTAACAAAGATTAAGAGCAAGCAGCCCATCACTTTGGTGTTGGCCTTTCCATATTGACTGCATGTCAGGTACTCCACATGGTAAAGCCCTTAGCTATTAAATATTTATGAGTTATTGTGCCTAAAGTCTCTCAGGTAAGGAAATAAATGTCTGCTGGATGTTCCCAAAGCCCAGTTTAAATAAAGAAACTTGTGTTTTCTGTCTTTGAATGAAAATGAAATAGTTTCTCTCTTACAATAACATCGTCCATTTAAATCCCCTCACTTTTCTGAACTGATGTTTTCATTCTTTTATTTTTGTTTTAATTCTTTAATTCTTGTGGCCCCTCTGCGTGTTCATATTGTTCCTCTTTGATATTTTGTTCTACACTGTGCCTTCTTATGACGCACTTTGTAACTTTTGCTTTCAACACTGCTATAAAAAGAAAACTACTACATAAATAAATCTTTACTTACTTTGTGCTTGACAGTTTTTCCTTCTGTGTTAGGCTCCAGGCAGATACAGGGCTTTGGCCGACTGTCTTCAAAATGGACCAGACAGCATCACCATCAAATGCGGAGACGTCATCCAACTGCAATGTGAAGACAACAAGGGACGCTGGTGAGTTCTCAGCCCATCAGCACACAGGATGTGATGTAAACTACTTTGTCACTGTAATGAGTGATTACCCAAACTATCCCGTATGAGCATGGGTACAAGTTCAGACAGCGAAGAAAGAAAGCACGTGGCAGCAAAGTGTATTTATCTAATTTCTCCCCATGTTTCTCTCACTCTCATCTCTTTTCTTACTATTCATCCTTCAGGCTGGTGAAAAATCTGAGTCGGCGACAAGAGGGCTTCATAGCAGCTGCCAGCCTGCAGCTGATTATAGGAGACAGCAGCCGAGGACACTCCTCCAGACTAGGGGGTAAGGAAAAGACATGGGCTTCAAGATGACAATATTCTGTAATGTTGAGCTCTGGTATTTCTTGACTTTGATTTTCTTCTTTAAAGTCTCTATATTTTCTTGTAGACCCAGGGAACCTGAAGGCGAGAAAGCTGAGCTCCCCGTAGAGAAGAAAGCACAGAATGTGAATCTAATATTTACCTGTGGATGATGAACAGACAGAAGGAACAGATTGAGCCATAGCTGTCTCATAACTGATGCACTATCAGCCGCCCACTCCTCACTCCCTGGTGCCGTCTGCTTTCTTCAGCACAGTTCAGTCATTAAAAAAAAAAATGTGGGAATCTACAGACCTGATTTTTTTTTTTTCCCCCTGGGTGTTGATTGACAATCCACTGGGCTGGTGTTTTCTGATAATGAAGGTGTGCAGTGGCACCAGCACAAAAGGCACAGGAACTGTTAAGCCCTCTTGGACAATCAATAGCTGATCCCTGGATCCTGATTGGTCTTCCTCTTTTCTTATTGGTGATGAACATCTTCTCCTTCTGGCGCTCCATCTGCAACACACATATAGTCAGGATGTGAGGTTGCTGCTGCAGGAGCGGGTCATTTCGCAAACTGTGGACATTTTTCAACCCTTCTTCATTCCAGCTAAAACTTGAGGTTACAGTATCTCCGAGTGTGTGTGTGTGTGTTTGTTCCTGTTTGTCTCGTTGTGTGCTGGATGGATGCTTACCCAGGATTTGCCTGAAACGTTTCTTAAAGCAGTGACTTTTCTACATATACGGTATCATTTTTAACATTTATTGTACCTCAGTGTTTCATCTTTGTGTAGTTGTAGTAGTTGACATTTTCCATTGAACTACTTCATTGTATTTTTCTTACATTTCATTCCTTAAGGCAAAACTCTTCTTTACAGTCTAGGAAGTTAAAATGCCAAAATGTGCCATGCCATAATGCCTTTTTTATTCCTGCTCTTTTAGAGTCTCTTGTATGTACTGTTTGCAAAATCAAAATACTCGTCTTGCTTTAACCTGACCTCACAAATATCCAACAGGCACTTTATTAAGGTGGAAGGACAAAATAGACTAAAAGCCACCTATTGTCTACTGAATGTGTTCTTTGCTTGCTGCTTTACCTCTCTCACTGTGCATTTCCCCTTTTTCATGCTGTTACTCCCTTTGTTTGTTCTTGAACGATGTGTTGGGGAGGCAGGGGAGTCGTACCCCCCACATGCAGTCTGCGGTTGACGTGTCAGCGATGGTAATGTAAGACAGAGGCCGACGTGATGAAGATTGATGGCAATGTATTCCTCAGTGTGTGCCGTAAACAAATCTGAGGCACGTGCCACAGAGCACCAAACATTGTCATTCTCCTCAGGATCTCTTGGGAGCCGACTGTCAGTCACAGCTTGGAGAAGGGAGGGCGAGGCAGATTAGCAGAAACAGAAAGAGAGAGATTATGCTCTGTGTGCCCCTCCATCACGGAGGCAGATTGTTTCCTCCTCACCATTACAGCTCAGTTAATCTCGGGGTTCCGCATTAAAAGGGATCATACAGCCAACATGAAATACACCCTCTGTGTCGAACGCTTAATTAAATATTGATTGCAGACTTATATGAATTTACCACATCAAATCGAGGCCCCAGTCGGAGGGCTGCCTTTGATACGCTGTGTTTGATATGGAAATGAGTCTGGAAAGCAGCAGGGGCGGCTTCGCACTACTACCTATGTTGTTAATTTATTTATTTTGCTGTCATTTTGTTCCTTCACATTGTGAGGTATCGTGCAGCTCTGTATGAAATTACGTCTCCATATATTTACAGGAGCTATGCTTGACTGCACAAAAACAACCCCTTAATTTTTGCCTTTTAGCTTATACAACAAAATTTGATGTTTTCTTTAACTGATATCCAAAATGCTGCAGATTTTGCACATATTTTCCAGGTTGGAAAACAAAAAAAAAAAACCTGCTTGTATCCTGATGAGCCAAGTAGCCTAAACTTGTTGCTGAATGTTTCTTTAAAATGAAAATGCATGGCAACTGAGCATCAAGCAGGTTTGTATTGTTACACAGTCACTGTTCTAAACTGGCTTCTTTTTGTACAGCTTCAGTTCTGTATTAAATAATCAAATAAAATAAACTATTTATTGCAAGAACGTTTGTTTTGGCAGTTGAAATAATTCAATAGTTGATGACATGTTTGGCTCAAAGCTAAGGCTACTCTTTGTCATACACCCTGCTTTAATCCATTGCTTCTGTATTCTTGTTTTAATGGAGGCCAACTTATATAATAAAATTGTACGGACGTTTCTCGTTTTGAGAGTTTTTAGTCGCATATAATTTGAAGTCTGGATTTCTAAACATCCTTTTTCTTTCTCTGCTACTGAATACCTCAACTTGTAGAACATTTGTTCACCAGCAGATGGGAGTGTTGGCTTTCACTGTAACTGCACACGGTCAGTGTTGTTGTAGACATGACATGAATTTGAATGAATTTGGTATTATCTTATTTAATATTATGCATTTACATTTATCTGCTTCACATCTGTCTGCTACATTTCTTTAGCCACACTCACACTTTCAGTACAATGGCATCCAGAAGTGGAACTGCTCAGCCAAGTCAGAGTTGAGTGTCTTTTAAAGGTCACCTACGACCCTCCGGTTGTATGAATGTTTCAAACTCAAATTCAGAACTGCACGCCAAATTCTTTTAACAGCATACGATTCAAAACAGCTTCCGATTTTTGAACATCCTGTGAAGTTCAAAGAGCATTACGTAGAAAAAAAAGAAAGAAAGAATAAAAAAAATTATTTGACATGGAACACATTTATAAACCAGTTGTATTTTTTTTAAATCTATGCTTTCAATTTAAGGATCAGGATCTTCCACATCAAGTGCCAGCCTGTGTTTAGTTAATCCCATAACATGGTTTATCCAGCGGTAGTAAAGAGACACCCGGGTGTACACACCATATTTCCCATCCTTTGCACATTCTTCCCCCCAGCTCACGATGCCTGTCAGGAACCATGTATCATGAATGCTGTTTGCATGAGGACCTCCGCTGTCACCCTGACAGGCATCTTTGTCCACATTATCGTAGCCTGCACAAAACATGACAGGAGTGATCCTGGCACTGCTGCTTTCCTTACACTCTGTCCGATCTGTGAAGGGTACCTCGACCTTCTGTAGCGTGCTAGCCGTGGATCCGAGGAAGCGTGTTCGGCCCCAGCCGGTGACTGTAGCCGGGGAGGAGTTCTTCACCAGGGCCTCCGTGAAAGCCTTGGGCCCTATGCAGATGGGCCGCACAGTTGTGGAGAAGGTGATGGGAGTTTTGAGGTAAAGCAGGGCAATGTCGTGGTTGTACAAGCTCACACTGACGTTGTAGCGCGGGTGTATGTGCTGCTCCAACACTTCATGATCCTGCTCTGTGCCCTCCTTGATGTAGACGTTATGCTCCCCTACAGGGAGAGATATTAGATAGAGAAATAACTGACTCCCTCTAGAGATTTATTCTACAATAAAAAAGGCAGGGGATGTCCCAAAGCAGATGGCAAAATAATTTCCTCTTAGAAGTATATTACATGAAAAATGACTTCAACGACTACACACATAAACCTTCAGACAGGCTGCAATAATGATTTTTTAAATTATTATTATTATTATGGATTAATCTTTCACTTATTTTCTTTATGGATTGATCAATCATTTGGTCTATTAAGTGTTATAAAATGATTTTAAAAAGACCCAGTACAAAAAGGCAATGTCTTATAATTGCTTGTTTTGTCCAACCAACAGTTCATAAGCCAACGATATTTAGTTTACTATCACAGAAGACAAAAAAAACAAACAGAAAATCCCCACAAATGAGAAGCTAAAACCAGGTAATTCTTTACTTGGCGCAATTGATTTATCAATTACCACAATAGTCGATTGTTAACAATTAACTGACTAACTGTTTCAGCTCTATTTTACACAGAGCTATTGCTGCAACAGGGATGTAATTAGTTGGTGGCAGTGACTCTTACCCGCTCTGATGAAGAAGGAATCTTGTGTCTCCAGCAGACAGTGAGCAGCAGTGATAACCCAACGATGGCCCAGAATGGAGCCCCCACAGAATAAGACACCAGTGGATTGTGCTACCAAGCCTACCTGCATAAAAGAGGGGTGAAAAAAGGTCAACATATTACAGCTGCCGTTTCTTTTCCCTGTAACAAAACCCAACACACATCAACACTTCTACTTCCCATACAATACCTGCCATGGGATCTCTCCGGGAGTGACCTCCGCGCCACCTACAATGCGTTTAAAAGGACGAATCGGTACCACAGAGGGGATCTCAGCCTCACTGAGCACCCATAGGGGAAGTCTCTTTCGCGGGTGGTTTTCTACAGAATCAGTCGTGGCTGGGAAAGCTGCGGTGGTACTGGCTGGAGTTGAGGGAGCGGATGTAGTGGTGGTGGTGATGTTGGCCAGTGAGGTGGTGCTCTGCAGGCCTGCATTCTCACGGCCGAACAGAGACCTTGTGGATACTGCACTTACCTCTGCCAGAGCGGTTCTGCCACACGGGAAATCAACTGGCGATGTGAGAAAAGGAGGCGCCACGTTGTTGAGTTAAGAGTCATTAGTTTAATATTTAGCCCAGCATTCATGAAGAATATCTCAATACCTTCTGGTTCACAGCTCAACCCATCCGCCATCAGCCTGTATCCCGTCGCACAGGAACATTTTGCTCCGAAGGTTCCCATTGACATGCAGAAGTGCTTACAGTCGCCATTGTGCACATCACATCTTTTTGCTACAACTGAGCAGGAAAAGATACAAAAATGATTCCAAGTCATCTCCTTATTACATACATACTTGTACAATGAGATGTCGTTACCACATAAGAACTTCTGTATGCCAGCTCTAGATGTTTTGTAGGGCACCTAGGGCAGTGTGATTCAGCTAAATGCAGTCACAACTCACAGAGACGGCACTTTGGCTGCTGTTTATAGAATTTCCAAAAAGACAAATCTAATTTTGGAACCTAAAACCAGACTGAAGCTGGATACAAGCCATTGATTTAATTTAGAAACAAGGGGGTGGGGTGGGGGGTGGGGGTGGGGTGATGCTGTTTATCCTTTGAGAATGACATCTGATCTGATATTCTCAACAAATTTGTATCATGTAGCATAAATAACCAGTTTCTTTTGAACACATTTTTAAATCCAGCCACAGGACTTCGACTTACTGATCTCACATTTCCTGCCAGTGAAGCCAGGCGGACATGTGCAGGTGTAGGTGCCAACATGGTCTTTACAGGAGCCCTGGTTCAGACATGGCCTTGACTCACACTGATTGCCATCTGTGGAAATCCAGACACAGTAACTCAGCAGACAGTCATCTACTGGCTTCATTTTACAGAGGACTTTTATGAAGCAGCTTTACATTAAAACATATTCTGACAAATACAGATCTGTATTTCAAGATGAGGGCAGATGTTCATATTCTAAATGATCAGTCACAAAATTATGGCAAAAACATGCACATTAGACAAGTAATGACAACACTTTTCTGTCTGTGTTGATAGAAATCAGTAATTTAACACAGTCTTACCTATATATCCAGCCCAGAACTCCATCTGAAACACAGAGCAAAGTCTCTGATGAATGCATCCAGAAAAATAACAATGTGTGTAAAATATTAAGAAAATGAACAACCACGTACTGTCTTTTGATCATTCTCAAAGGTCTCCCTGGCCTCTTCCAGGTCACAGACTTCCTCAATACACTCTCTCTCCAAATTGCCTTGCATGAACTCCTCAAACAGCCCTCTGTTGTGGCGTCTGTGCCTCCGCAGAACGCTGCCGGCTGCCTGACCTGAGAGAAACACTGGACCTGAGGCTGGAGCTGGGGCTGAAGTGAGTAAAAGGAAAATATAATCACCATGTTTACAGGTCACAGCAACCAATACATGTAGTTTAGAGATATTCTTTTGCGTATCAATGAAGTAAACAGAAAGAACGATCCTCCAGCTGTCACATACACTGACAACACTCTAGAAGTAAAACAGCACAACTGAAATAAACCTCAAACGGGAGAGAAATTATTTATGAGTGTCATAAATAATCTTATAATACCTCCAGAGCCCAGCTGAAAGCCCAAAAGCAGCATAGACAGCAAAGACAAAGGAACTAGCTCCATTCCAAACTGCTGTGACGCCTCGACAGACGCACACTGGACACTGATCACTGATCACTCCAAAGTACAAAACTCCTCTGTTTGCACATGTACACTCACAATTAGTTGTTTGCTCAGAAAAAAAAAAAAAACACTTCTGTGTTACCGTGTCAACACCTACGTACACAAATATACAGTTTTTATTTGTACATTAAGAAACTGCAGAATGTCAGAACAAATGATTAACCAAATTTAAGGGAATATCCTAGATTTTCTGTTCCAAGAAAAAAAGCATGTCTGTTACTAAGACGACTTGTGTCGTTACTTCCACCCCTATAAAATTACAAATGTGTTTTAGTGAAAAGACCAAATAGTTTTGTCCAGTGTTCTGCCCCTGAAGTTCTTCACTTCATTATAAGCCAAAAACCAAATACTTGAATCATTTTTATTTAGTTTGTTCACAACTGGATTGTCTGTTTACGCATATACACACAAATAAACCACATTTTACCGCCTTATTTATGTGTTTTTAATGCATTTTACTATGACATTGTATTTTAATATCTCTAAGCTTATTATAGGCACTGCTCAAGATTTCATTTTTTCTTTCTATTTTTCTTTCTATCTAAAAAAAAAAAAAAACATGTAAGTATTTGGTTTTGTTTGTGACGCTGGTTTAGCTTTTTTCTGAACATGTGGACAGTGTGTGTGTGTGTGTGTGTGTGGCAGTGGACATTACAGCTGTCACTTTAAATCGTGGTTCTCTTCTCTGTTAATCATTATGATGTGTGCAGCTGTCATTTTGAATTGGGCTTGATTTAGGTTTATGCCAAAATATTATCAGACTAAATCAACTTTTAAAATCAACTGAAGTTGTGCTTTTTATGAAAAATCCAACTTGTTTAATGGGCCGAGCTACAGAAGGGGGAAAAGACAACACGTTAGTCGATGAAATGCACTTTGGACTTTTCACCAGAAGATGGCGTTCATACACCTCAGTCACACAGCAGAATAAGGCACTGGTTATAGGATCATGTACCGCGTTATTTATCATTGCAGTAAAGAGGAAGCCTGTGACTGTCTCTGACATAGTGAAGGAGCCACAGAGCTGAGGAAATAATACATCAAAATCGAAGTTTAAAAATGACCATATTACACTATACTCTCTACTAGAAGGAGCTGAAGCAACAAACTGTCTATGAGCTGATATGTATGTTATGCTACATCCGTAGTGTCATTGTTTCGAATCAGTATGTCAAAAAAAAAAAAAGGAAAAGACATTTCCAGTGAGACCAGCCTGCACATCATAGGAACTGAAGAGATTTTCAACTTGTGTTTACTTTTGCAAACTTTTTTTTAAACTCATGTCCGCATACCCTTTCATAATTGTTCAATATGGTCAATCAATACACAAGACGATGATGCAGTGACCGGGGGTGATGTGAAGCTAGTGCTGATTCAGTGCGCCAGCTGAAGATTTAACTCTGGTGTCATTCTGTGGTCTGGCATATAAGATGCAACCCATCACTGGCTCTGAAAATCCCCCCAGAGGGAGTCCAAAGTCTTCTCAAGTGTTGGCAACTATCGACTGGAGGCATTTATATTGAATCACTCAAAGGCTGAATAATTCATACTTGAGTAATTAACACTGTCTGCTCAATACAAAAGCCTCTCGATCATTTCCTGCCAGGAGGAATATCAGAGTAAAGTAGTTATAGAGCGTTCACACAATATCATGAAAAAAAAAAAGACCTCTGATGCCTGATGCAACAGAATTTATTGGAGCTATTCCAAGTTTAGTCCAACACATTACAGCAGGTACACTCTGCAATGCTGTCGTTGAGTCATATTTCTAAATGTAAGTCTGTTGCTGAGCCTTGTGGAGAGGCTGTGGGCTTTGATAACCCCGATGGCATACTTTCCACACAGTCTCTCAGCCTAGTTAAATAGCAGCGTGGATACAGACCATTGACTGGGCTTACTATTACATGTCCAGGAGAAAATATTAACAATGGTTTTTGCTATTAGCACTGAGGTGATGAGTTGTGAGATGAGAATGCTAACAAGGCTGTGTTAGATATATGATGCGGATGGATGCACGGATGGATAAAAGGAAGTAAAATTGCCTGTGACTGACTATTGATTTATGAAGATCTTGCAGACATCTCTGTCTTCTCTCTTTCTTTGGCAGCACCACACAGCTGGGGAGTCTGTGTCGGCTCCAATTAGATTAGTCACTACAGTGGGGGCTCGAGTCAGGGCCTCGCAGATAATAAAAACTCTGATGCTTGCTCAGTGATATTGATTGTTTCTGTACAGTATCTTCTGGGTTGTGGAGGAGATCAGGCAGCCCAGAACTCAGTCTTTCACCAGGGACACGGTATCATTTGCTGAGAGCTTATGTTTTACCTTGGTAAAACCTTCCTCTGTCAGTGGGAATCAGAATGTTTGTAAAAACAAGGGCAGCATGATTTGGGAAAATCTGCGCAATGACGCATACACAGTCATAACTCAATTCTTGTGATATTTAAAGACACAATCAATGATCTGGATCCAAACAAAACCACGACCTCATTACCAAAAATAAAATAACTTTCAAGATGATGAACAGGACTAAATCTGGCTAATGTTTTCAGTGCTGTCAGGGGTTTGCAATTTGAAATAAGAAAGGCTGAAAAAAAAAAAAAAAAAAAAAAAAACGCAAATTTTCCATCCAGACGCTGACTGTGGCAGTCAGAGCTTACTGTGTCTGGACTGTCTGTAACCTCAGTCCTATTGAGACACAAAAAAGCTCTATTAAAGATTATGATGGTATGGTGTAATTCTGTTCACTCAATGTTGGTAGTATGGTTGATCATGATATGGTTTATCATTATTAAATCATTGGGCAGGCAGTTATAATACACTTATAATTAAAGTTAAATATGATACATGTTTCCCACTCAGAGACTGAATCCAGACTTATATTATTGGGCGTTTCTCACCACACTTGTACAGTAATATCCACAGGGATCTCCTGTGATGTGAGCTGTAAAAAGAAACACTGTGGGCCCCCAAAGCACTACCACCCCCCTTCATCACCCACTCCTCCTGGATAAAGCCATTGACATTAATGTGATATTTGAGAAAGTCTCGCTCCGTTAATTAGTACAGTCATTCCTATAATTTTAAAGCCTGACGTCCACACCCATTCCCCCGCTTGCCCACATGCATCTTTACCAAGCCAAACACTCTGACATTTTAACAATTGGCTTGGTATTTTGCCGAAGACTTAGAGGTAGTGTTTGGATTTACAGCCTCAAAACACCAGTCACAGTCCAGTGGTCTTAAATAGACTGTTGGAGGCCTTTCAAATGAAATCCTGCCAGTAAAACGTAAAAAGAAACTAAAAGGAACTAAAAAGATACTAAAACCACTGACGCATTTGTAGTTATAGTGGAAATGGCGCTATAAACAGTATGAAAAGATTTTTGGCATTTACAATTTCATATTTTGTAAATTTATCATAATAACTTAGATATGATCACTGTGTTTAAAAGGTGGAGGACTTCCTCAAATCAGTATAGAGAGAAATAAGTTAATTGATTAATAAAAGTCTCTAATTTCAAGTCAATTCAAGTTCAAAATACCAGAAAAATGCACTTATACAGTATTTCCCCTCTTGGGTATGGATTCCATATTAAACTTATTAAACTAGGTAAAGCTAAGTGGGTCAGTGACCCAGTAATGCTTTGTCTAATTAGTTCATAGGTTTAGCTGAATTTGTAAATGCATCATTTATGGCTGCATGTTTATTTGTCCAGGACAGTTTTCTTTTAAGTTACTACACATACAGGTGCGGAACAAATAAAGATAAATTAAGGAAAACAATGTGCCTCGGTTTGAACAAGTGGATGTACTTGGCTTTGCTTACGCTTAACAATAGTGACCCAGAAATACGGCGCTATTGTGAGTTCCTAAGGAATGAGAGCTGAAATCCACTCCTGGTTCTGTGAGCCGTGATGCAGCCAAGCTGACAGACGCTGCCGGCTCAGGGATGTTCAGCCACCGTTAATGAAAAGTGGAGCTCCCATCCCTCCTGGTCAGAAAGTGCCCGTGAAGCTCACTGTTTTCCGCTGAATGTCAGAAATGAGTTTGCAAAAGGCTACATTGGACAGATCCAATGAGGTGGAAATGGGTCAAATGAATTTTTCATACTAATAAATCATTTCCAACTTTGCACCCTGTACATTGTAAAACCTGCTTCAGGTGCTAATAACTCACCTGCCATTAAACTGATGAGGACTTCATCACCAGTGGTAAATGGCAGAATGTCAGCTGCATCAAATACATGTAGATCATCTGTCCAGCAGCTGAAATATACCCTGACTCTGTGGCATGAGAGATATAAAAATGCAATCTGGGGAGCGGCCAAGTCAATTATGTGGTGTGTTATAGGAGGACGTGACAGAAATACGACAGTGCGTCACACCTTTCGACCCTGACCTGTATAGTTTTGAAATAACTTACTGACCCTGTTCTGACCTTTGAAACTGAGGTCAGAGCGCCTGAGCTCTGTGAGGCTCAGAGATAAATGAGCAGGTGCAACAGTCCTATAGTGTTTGATGAAATCCATCACTTTTATGTGCAAGCCTATGGACACACATGTAAACACATGCAACACATAAACGCACACACAAATGCACAAATGATTGTATGGCCTTCCAGTCCTTGGTTTTTTTATCCTGCAATTGCTGCTCGGCTCCTATTCACTGCATTGTATCCACTCATGACGACAACAACATGTGAATATTATATTTGCTTTGCTTGTGGCTTGACACATGACACTGACCTCTCCTTCATTACTTTGCGTATTCTTCCCCCTACAGCAACAATTTGCCATTTATGTTCTGATAAGAGTGAATGTCACATGATGTAATGATTCATGTAACTTTTGGCTCATTTTGAGTGTGAAACACAGGATCACTTGTGATACATTTAATCCATACTAAAAAAAAATACAGACAGACAGATACAGACACAAATTCTAACACTCCTCTGCCTCCAGCTTGTAT